GTTCATGATACTTATTAGTAGGGTTATTCTTAACCTTTTCATATGTATTTGTCTCTAACATATCTTCTACCCCTTTAAGGTAGTCACATTTATTAAGGACTACAATTTGCCCTCCTTTATCAGTTTTACAAATAACAATGTTTTTATTTTCTCTTAATGATTTAACAGCCTTGATATCCACATTTTGTTTTTTCACTACTGGGTTGAAATTACTTACAAGTTTATAACATTCAATTCTAATCATATTTTTAGAATTATCAGCTATCATTAATTATAACTTCCAATACAGTACCTTACCTCCACTCACTCACATAAATAGCTAGAATCCCACATTGAATAGGTGGAGGGACCAGTGCGAGGGAAATAAAGAAGCATCTGAAGGACACTCCCCAAGATGAGACAGTCAGATTCTGAGATCTGATGTGGTGATCTTTGCCAATCATAGACAGATGTTGCATATATGGGTGGAAAACAAAGGAGCACATCCAATTGGGAGAAAACTATGGCTGGAAAGTGATCTGTACCATGCAAAATTTATGATACTCAATCCCAGAAATTATAAAAGTGGGTAAAATAAAAAGAAAGTATCCCTAGGTGTTGAGTGGCTAGGGTGTAACGGACCATACCACCCCCCCACTTAAGAAAAGCCAGAATGGATCATTACCAGACGATTTCTGGCCATATGGAGAAAATGAACCAAAACATGATCTACAGCAAGATGTTTCAGGACTTTGATAGGATAAAACCTCTAGGCTGCAGCCCTAAAACTCCAAATCTTCCAGTTGAACAACCCATGCCCTCAAATCCAAAGGGATGGGGCCAAAAAATGCGGAAAACCAGATGAGGAGGAGGAAGCGGGTCACCCTCTGAGGTACGAGTTATATCTGAACCACCAACGACAATCGACGACAAGGGTAATAATAGCCAACAAAGGATCCCTGCAAAATTCCACTGGTCATGAAAGCCCCCATATGACCCTGACTTGAGGGGATAAGGACTACCATGGAAGATCACATCTCCAAAAATGATAGAACTTCGAGAGCTGTAATTGAATTGAAAACCTGGAATTAAGGGGAGAACATGGAACAAACTATGCTCAACCAAGGACCCAGGATGGGACCACCCTGCATTCGGAATTATGAGGAGACAATGGACCATCTTCCATGAACAATGTACTGAAGGGCCATGTTCAACCAAACCAAACAGCCAAGCGACAAATCGAAACCAGTATCGTGAGAAGGCTCCTGCATAGGATGGTGCCTCTCCTGCCAATATCTGGGAAAAAATATCCTGGGACCTAGGTAAGAGGGCCCCCCAACTTCGCCTTCTTCTCCGAGAGTGGAAGAAATTCACTCTAAGACACTGGAGGAAAAGCCTCTGTTCACCACTCCAGTGACTGGAAACTGGTTGTGGTAAGGACTCCCTAACTTCACTAGCAGAATCTGGGGGATAATGTGCACTGGGGAGTTCTGGCGTACAGTGCTCTGGAGGCAATGCAATAGGTGAATAAAGTTCTCTAAACTTTTAAAAGCAAACCAAACCCAATTTATTCAATTCAATGATTGGCAGGGATAGGCAAGATCCCTTTATGCTTTACTCATGATAGTCCATGAGTGGTGCTCAAGCATAGTACTGTAATACCACCAAGTCAACCTCCAGATGGTCTTATAGACCACCTAATTTCTACAAAGCCTATTGCAACCTAGATAAAGTATACTGAGTTAGTGGATGCTAGTGCAAAATTGGTTTGATAAAGCACACCTGCCTGGGCAACACTTGCCACAGAGTGGGATTCAGTAAAAAAAAAGAGGTAAGAGGCCCTGTTAAGTAAAGAGACAAGAAAAACAATAAAAATACTCACATCTCCTTATAATCTAGCTGATGTGGTCAAAATAGCTACAGGGAAAGGTGATACATGGTACATAAGACTAAGGACTCAAACAGATGTCGAGACACAGTATGTAAAATAACCTTAATATCCCAGTTAGGTAATTGAAAAGGCCTCTTGAGACAAAGGACTCAAAATGACTTAAAAAGGACAGATAGCACTGAATACTCAAATAATTTCCATCTTTTTAAGTATCTAAATGTAGTCGATAAAGCTGCCTTATATAAAATGATTGTAGATGATACTTAACCCTTGTCAAAAAGCCATGTCAAAAAACGAGCTATGGTTAGCACGTCTGGATGAAGTAGGTTCAATTTCCTCATGAGACACTATTGTTGATATATGTGCCATTTCCTTTGATAAATGTCTATCATGGGACTACACAGAGACTGAGACAGATACATGGCAATCATAAAAGTTAAACCCTAATGCCATGCAAAGGACCACATAACTTCCATGTATGAAGCTTGAGCTTCAAGATATCTGGGTGTATGATGTCAGATTGTGGTTGTCTCTGTTGAGACAGCCAAAGAGGAAGTGGTAGAGGTAGGCCTTCTTCAAGATACAGAAGTATAAACCATGGTTGCTGTTCATGATCTATTGGTCGCACATCAACCACTGAAGGGGTCAGATGTGTACTCATCCTAAAGGAATGAGAGATTTGAGTGATGCCCACATCTTCAAAAGAGAAAGAACCACCTGCTCAGTGGGAGAAGGAAACATAAGAGTCTGACTGCCTGTTCTATAGCATAGAGCTGGATGGGAGTCAGCTGAGCCAAATTGAGATACATGTTGAAAAAGACACCCAGATGGATGATAGATTCCGTAGGAATGAGAACCGATTTCTCAGCTCTGATAATAAAGCATCCCTTAGTGGCTTCTGAAAGGAGAATCTGGGTGTGACATTCTGCCAACTGATGAAATGGTACTAGGAGTAACCAGTCATCGACATAATGGTGTGTGCATAGGCCTAGAGAATGGAGGTAATGAGAAAAAGCTCATACTATTCTGCAGAACACATATGGTGCTGATGCTTGTCCAAAGGGCAGAGCCTTGAACTCCAGTACCTGACCTTTGTGCACAAAATGTAGATAGCGGCAGGACAAATCTTCTATGGGAATGTGTAGATATATGTTGGCAACATTGAACTTAGTCATCCACAGTCCTGGCAAAAAATGCCAACGTAGAGTGAGGAATGACTCCATCATGAACATGGAAAAATCTAAGAATCGGTTGAGATGAGAAAGATCAATAAGCAGGCACCAATCTCCTGTATTCTTGTGAACAAGAAACAGATGGGAATAAAACTCTGGAAGAACTGGGTTGGCTTTTTCTATTGCTCCTTTGACCATCAAATCTCTGATAGCCATGGAACAAAAGTCCGAAATACAAAAATCTGTTGGAACCAGAAACACTACAGGTTGGGGAGATAATGGTGGTGGAGATGTGAAAGGAATGGCCAACTCTGATGCAAGAGCCTGTAACACCCATGGATCTGTGATAAAAGAATTCCATACGACCAGATAATGTTGTAGCCGCACCCTCACAGATCCCACCGGTATAGGGTAGTTGCCTCCACAACTAGCAGTGTTCTGACCGAGTAGAGGAGCCTCTTTGATATGGGCAGAATCTATTCTAGGTACCAATGGATCGGGGGGGGGGGCTGATGTCAGGGGCCAGGACACTCGAACAGGGTTAGAGCCACGATTCCCTGTAGAAGCCAAGAGGCCAACAATGATGATGATGAATGCAGACAGGCAACATCAATCTGTGATTCCAATCACTCTAGAATGCCTACAAAAATCAAGGATCGAAGAATGGGGTTTCACATAATTCATGGAGAGTGGCAGCAGGTAGACGAACTCCCTCCAACAATGCATCTCTACCCAACAAGTCCCAAGAACATCCCAGCTGAGAAACTAAAGAAAGGGCAGAAGCTGACAATCATACCAAGATAGATGCCAACAAAGCTCCCAACTCTTCATCAAATTGATATGGTGATCACGGAGAGGCTTCCAACAAGAATTGGAGGGGTGATAAATATCTCAGAACCGTAGTGAGGGTCGGACAAATCCTAGAAAATTGTGATCTGTTCAATTCGATTACAGGCTCCATTCTGGAACCCTACATTTCCAAAAGTGGTTCTAGTCTTTAAGAGTCTAAATACACATCCACTTATTGGTGGTAGCCAAAGCATGTTGTTTCCACAAACATAGCAAACAAGGCATAGCTATTCCTTCATGTAACTGAGTGGTAAACCTCCCTGCATGAGCCACAGTATAAGAGGATGGAGGAAGAACTAGGTATTCACCCTCAGACCTTTCCATCATCAAGGAAGGCATAGACTCAAAGGCAACTGAGGAAAAACCCAAAACAGCACACACATGACTGAGCAACTGAAAAAAAAGGAGCCAGAGGTGGCTGATCCAAATTGGCCTCATGAGAAGCCAACCTAGTATATGAAGGCGGCAGAAAAAGCAAATCTAAATTCTCTCCAGAATGTTCAGGATCGCCAACAAAAGCCTCCCAGAGAAACACCATCAGACCAAATAGATGTCTTCATCTCACTACAAATCAGATTATGGACAGCCTCAACTGAGAGTGACCCTCCTTCCCAACTGTTGAGTGATGCTAGGTATCAGAAGTGGGATAGGGAAGGTCTGATTAGCCTCATGCCTGTAACAGTAATCCAGGAATTCACATCATATGTTGGCTTGTTGAACAACATTTTTTTAACAAAAATCAACTAGGTGACAAGAAAATTGCTCCAAGTGTCTCTAACAGTTGCAGTACAGAGAAACCCATTACAGCACTTTGTCATGAAAATGTGTTAATATTACCTTAATAAGGTGTATACAGTACCAGGATAGAGAGTGCATTGACGTAGGTGGAGTGTCACAAGAAAAATATTGCCAAGGGCACTGAAGTGGGATATAAAAAAACTGGTGCAAGCAAGAAAAAATCATACCAATGCTTAGATGGGCAAAGAAAGAAACCATGGCAGTCGAGTAATAGCTGTAATGTGAAAGGAGGTAAGTATGTTTTAGAAGATGCATATCTTCAAGATATTTTGTAAACTTTTAGTAAACATGAAAAGTCTGTTGTACACAAAAATCTGAATTTTTAATGAATTAATTGTACTAAAAAAATGTGTCTGAGTTGGTCTGAGAATAAAAATACTTCATCTTGCAGTTTTCATGTTTCATTTACATAACCTCTTGAACCTTTCCAAATAATGTAAGTATTTATTTCTGTAAAACTTTATACTTCATCTCTTATTTTCTCAACCTTAGCACTAACTGTACTGATATCAGCAATATAGGATAAAATGAAAAATTGGAAAACATGAAATAAATCTAAATTACCATTTTCTTTCCTTTTAAATAACTACATATTGTAACCAACAACTATACACTATTTATTCTCACATCCAAAGTTAATAGACTTTTCATATCTGGGTTCATTTAGCTTTATTGCTTAATAGCTGTACTTGCACAGTCTCAAAAAATACTGTAAACCATTTATTACAGTTGGAGAGCTTTGTACAAATAAACGATTAAGTTACAAACATGTTATGGAAGAATTACAATTATGACTCACTATGTGCATGTGCTATGATGGAGTATAATGAGAAATGTTTTTATTCAATCTTTTTTCATTTAAGTTTTCTTATCCAACTTAATAAGAATACATTTTGGTTACTTTTATAGCAATAAATAAATGAATAAACATTAGTATTTACATCTGGACACTGTCTTTCTGCCATCAATGGATGAACTACTGTATGCCCAATTTTTTGTAACAATGTTGGCAGTCTAAAATCTTACTATAATGGATTTAGCATGTATGTCAGTATCTATATAAATATATATAACCTCCTACACCATCTACTGAATGGCAATACAATTGCACACTTTGGGTATTCAAGTTTCTGACAATTAGAAAAGTAACTGTGGTATGTGCAACAACCATTTTCTATAATACAACACAATTTTAAATAAAAGTACTCTCCTCACAACAAGAACATTATTAACATAGATTGATAATAAAGATGTTCAATTAAATTCTCAATGTAACTTGGCAGGGTTATTCTTCAGGTGATTGTGAAATGTTAGTTGAAGTCACAATATAGAGATTTAAATATCTTAAAATGCTACATCTCAGATGGGGGCCAGAGTTTTCCAACTGGAGTCTGTCACCCCCCCCCCCAAGCCAAACTTGATAGACATGAAATTAATGTGCAATAAAATCTGCACTTCACTTTTAAAATCACCAATTATTTCAAAGTAATACCTCACAATATTCTTTTTCATTTTAAATCACTGATGATAAGCAGTGAACAAAGAAGTTTTCACTGAATCACTCTTCATACTACTGATAAAAATTATCAACTAAGTTAACAGTCTCAGAGTTAGGTGTATATCTTGCATATAAGAGATCTGTCTTCTTTATGCCTACTACCAAGGCAACATCTGTTGACATATCATACCTTGTATATATATTGCAGGACATACTACAGGTTGAAATGTAAAGAAGCATTAGACATGTCCAGACAAGACAGCTCATAAACTTCTTTTGCTACTGTAGTAAAATATCATTGTTTGTTGTATACATTAGATTGGGCCAATTACAATATGTATCCATCAAGAATTATGATATGAATAATAACAAAAGAAAGAGAAAAAAAAAAGGTTTAAAAATTTTGCAAAACCAAGAGAAACTAGAGAGGCACTCAGTAGAGCACATACCTCCACCATGCAGTGTTGATCATATTCAGCTATCAAAAAATACAAAAATATGTTCGTATGTACGTCGTTATCAATGGACATGGACAATTTTAGGCAGGACAATAAGGAATAATATTCTACATATGTATGCTAACTTTCATCAAAATGCTATCATTTTTGACTGAGTTATAGAGAAAAAAAATTGTGTGAAAAATCAGTCCCCATGTTAACAGGTAGGGATTTTTTCTCTCTAATTTGTGTGACCTTGACCCTGCAAAAATTAATCACTTCTAAGTTGGGTCATAGTCCAATTGTATACCAACTTTCATCTAAGTCCATTTACCCATATTTGAGAAATCTTGCCGACAAACCCACAAAGGGGTGAAAACATAAAATATTATACGTGAAGCTATTTCACTTGACTTTAAAAAATTATTACTAAAGAACAGTGAATTCTAACTGCACTAGTTACATAAACTTACTGAGAGACAACACTGAATCCCAGCTTGCAGACATTCTACATAGCTATATTCCACAGAACACTCTTCTACAACAGTAGGTTTCATATAAAATAAAGGATCTTTCACTGCTAATGTAAGATTGTATATGGGCTTACAACCAATACCATTAGATTCCCACCAGCTACGACTTCCAGTTCCGAAGTTTAAAATACTTGAATCCTGAAATATAAAAACAAAAATTATCTGATTTTTTAAAAATGCTCTGTCATAAAAGCAAACAGAAAATAAAAAATATACATATATATAAAAATGATCAATCAACTGAACTCGCAAAGTAAATAAGTTCATTTACTTTAACTAAAATAACATTATACTCAATACCTTATACGATAAGAATTGGCTATGACAAGAAGCAAAAATATGATAAGAATTGGCTATGTCGAGAAGCAAAAACTTAAGTCATTCAAAGCAGAACCTTCCTATTTCATACTACTACCTTGCTTGACTTCTTCAAACATAGTAATGGAAAAGCAATTTAAAATTTTAAGAGATCATAATTAGAATATATATGTGTCTATTGAATTAACTTATCAGATAAGATGAAATGTGAATTTCTAAAATTCTTTCAAAGATCTGTTAAATACATTTATGAACAAAGGCATTTGATTTTTTTTTTCTGGTAGATGAGAGTTAGATTGAACTGATAGGCCATCTGAATGTTTGTCATCCACTTGCTTTTTTGTTCTTAAAGCCTTGAGATAATGAAAAAATTGTTCGTTTTCCTATGCTTTTGAACTTTAAAATACATTAGTACTAAAAAAAAAAGAAATTAAAACATGTTTACACACATTTATTGTTTTCCTTATATTTCTTTAAGTTAACTTCTAAAGACTATGGGTAAGATGTACGACTTTAAAAACAAACAAAAGAAAACAAGTCATATTCTGTTATCACAAATTGAAAGGTAAAAGAATCTAAACACAAGGTTCAACACTGACAGTACCTTATTTAATATTCCAATATCTAGGTAAAAACATATGAGAAATATATTCCATCCAAGCCAAAGACAGGTCCATACCATGTACTACAAAAAAAAAAGAAAAAAGAGATGAATAATTAATGCTCATATTTATGATAATTTTCTATCCTATTTTATAACGATTATAATAGAGGCATGTGATAACAAGCATTAAGATTCAAGTGCTTTTACAGGATAATCATGTGTATATGTACAAGTTTAATTGTAATTCAAACTCAACAACACTTTTAAAACTTCATGTTGCCTACTTTTACTTCATTTAATTATTTGTTATTTTAACATATTCATAAAATAATTTGGTCTGCTAGAATAAACCATCTAAACAAACATTCATTCTAACAACAAATGCCTTTGGTTTTACAAGTCTTGACCCATTACCAGTTTTAATTTGTATGAAGATAAATAAAAGGAAGACATTTTTTTGGCACAATGAAACATAAAACTTAACATAATTAGTTAATTAGGCTAAATAATTTGAGTAACAAAGTTATTCACACCCCCAGTTCAGGATTAATAGCTAACTTAATCCTAATTTGTTGAACTTAAAGTTGTTTATCATATAAAATGAAGGTCAGTTTTAAAACGAATTGTAGATTATTAATGTAATTGATTAATAAGCCTGATGATTAATTGCCCACCTTTACTCTTTGCAACTGCTATAAGCCTACACTCATACAAAACAAAGAAGTTGGTTTTAATGTCACACAATGCATGTTAAAATAGTAAAACAACCTAATACATTCAAAAAATTGTAGTCTGAAGGCTAAGCACAAAGCAAAAAAAGGGTAATGTGTAAAATGGCAGGTGATGCAGTTTTCAGCCTTCTAAAGTTTTCTAAAGAATGTCTGCAGTCAATGATACTGGATGTTTATTAATTGAGGTAAGCAGTAATATAACAAGTAACAATGTGATCCTTCAAGGTTGTTCTTGCACACCTAACCTTGAGAAAAGTAAAAACTTAAACCAACCCTAAACTAATATAAAGTGCCAATTCCACTACTGCTGATAGTAGTTTATTTAATAAGCCAACCACCCTATTAAAAATAAACCTGTCTTAACTGGAGTCAAAACTGTTTTTTCCAAATCTTAAACTTGTGTCTTCTTGTGTTCAGAAAACAGCACAAAGAAATCAGAGGCTTTTATCCTATCAATTCTTCAGAAAACTTTAATGAGATCACTTCTTACCCTTCTTTTCTCAAGAGCAAATAAGTGATCTTAAATTATTATACACCTTTCTATTGTTGAAACAATCCTATTAACCATGTGAGTTCTTTCCATTGTCAATATCCTTTGTTATATAAGAGATCAAAACTGTACACTATATTCCAAATGTGGACTAACTAGCAATCTGTTAGATTAGTGTTTCCCAAAGTGTGGGGGTGCCCCTACAGGGGAGGTACATATGATCTCTTGGAGAGGTGGCGCAAGTGATTAGGGTAGAGTCAATAATGCTATAAATCAAAATTAAGTGTTTTAATGTGTATTACATCTTGTCACTTAACTCACTCTTTCACTCACTTAAAAAAAGAGAGGGAGGGGACAAAGATGACAAAAGTTTGGGAAATGCTGCATTAGATGATTACTTTTTTAGACTTGTATTTAATATGTCTAAAAATATATTGTTACGACAGCAGAAGTCACGTGACGCTGGTAACACGTGATGAGTTTCTAGAAAGATTGGGGAACATCACGAATAATCCAGTATTTGCTAGACGTCCTCTATTCCTGTATATAAGTGCACCAGATAAAGCGAGACAATTTAATCGGAACTAGAATAGCAGACAGAGAAATTCAAGATATGGACAGATAATCGAGTCAAGCCGTAAGTAAAGTGTGTAAATCATTGTGAATTATAACATGTGTTTAAGTTAAAGTGACTGTGGAAATTCTGTGTATTGCAAAGTTGCATTGAGAAAGAATAAACTAGTTTTATTTAAGAACGGACTTGTATTGCTGAAATTCTTCGGAAAGAATTTTTTACGGGTAATTAACAAACGAGCAGAGATGGTTGGAGGAAAAAGAAAAGAAACAAGAAGAGAGACATCATCAGTGGCAAGAAAACCTGCAACAGTGGCAGCTCGAACAGCAAAATAAACAAGAGAGACTACAGCAGTGGTTGAAAGAGAAAGAAAATGAACAAGAAGAGAGATTACAGCAGTGGCAACTGGAACAAGAAAGGAAAGAGAAAGAAAGTCTCCAACAGTTGCAGGAAAGTCAGCAGCAACTACAGGAAAGTCAACAACAGTGGCAAGAAGTACAAATGGAAAACATTAGTAAATTTCAAAGTGAATTAGATACATTAAAGAATGATTTATTGTCTTTTACACAAGGAGAATACATTAACCATTGATTTAATCAGCCCCAGACAATGGCAAGCCCCTTCCAGGCCCTGCAGCTAAACCCTAATGCAGACATTTTCAGTCCCGTTATAAGTCGCATTCCAGACACGAGTGTCAGCAATAGGGGTGATCTAG